CAGGAAAGGCTTCTTCTCCATCATCCTTCAGGCTGTCATGGCCCAACAGGGCTGGTTCACCCTTATAAATGTTGGGTGGGCAGGATGAGTGTTTAGAAACTCTGGGTTCCCCTGGTGCTCCCACCATGGAGCTGGCTGACCTGTCCATTCTCCCTGATCATCAGGACTCCAACCCGCCTGCTTCTTCCATGGCTCATGAAACCGTACGCTGGAAGACTGGACCCCTGGAAGGAGAACTTCAACTATCGACTAAGCATCTGCCACATGGAGGTCAAGGATGTCTTTGGGTGACTGAAGGCATGCTGGAGGGCCCTAGGGGTCCACCTTGAGATCCGGCTGCAAAATGTTCCCACCTTTGTGGCTGCAGCTTGCATCTGGCATATGTGCAAGTTAAGCGGGGAAGCTTTTCCAGACACCAGGGCACTGGGCGCTGATGCCTCCAGGCAGCCTCTTGAACCAAATGCACATGGTGGCTCTGGTGAAGGGAGACCCCCAGTCAAGCATCATGGACAGTCCTACCATGAGGCCACTCTTATCAGCGAGGCCTTGGAGGAGGGTGTTGCTTTGCAGGAGGGGCAAGATGGCCAGTGGAACTAAGCATTGAAATGTTCACTCTCAATAAACGCCTTTCATTTCAGTGGTGCAGTGTATGTTCCCTGAGTGATTCAGGGGGTCAGGGAGTGGGGTTTCTGGGGAGCTATAGTTGCGGGGAGGGGAACGAGGCCTTGGGGGCTGGCCTGCTCTGGTACAGGCAGAAGGCATGGGGCAGTGGCCAGTGGCCAGTGCGCTCATTGAGGCATTCCTATCTGGGGCTTGTGGGGAGGGCTCTTTCCAGATACCCCATGGAAGATTTCCAAATTGTTGGCATTGTGCTTGCAGTTCATGCCTCAAAGCAACCACCCCACAATGCACTATGGGAGGAGGGGGTGGGAGGATGTATCTGTTGGGAAAGAAGTCAGGCCGATAGTGAGGCCCTTCAGTGCAAGGGCACTTCAGTGCAAAAGGCACACAACTGTCCACTCGTTTCCTCCCCCTCCCTCAACCCACCCAGCTGCACATGCAGGCTGGAGGGAAGTGTACAGGGAACTTGTGAGGAACATTTGGGACCTTGAGCTGGAGAGGGCACGTGGGCTGGAAGTGCACAAGAAGCTCAGTGCAGACATGTAAAAAAAAGTGCAAACTTTATTTGTTCCCAATAAACATAAAGCCACGCACATGCAAGCTGCAAACTATGGTGCAACCTGCCAAATAAAACCATGGCATAGCCAGGGGGCTGGCTACCCCTTCCCCTGCTACTTGGGAGAACTGTGGCATGCTGGCTGCACCTCCCCTGAGCCTGATGTGAGAGGCTGATCGGAGCTTGAGCTGCACCTGCATGGCAGAGTTTTCTGACTGCACTGCTGGGGAACTGAGTCAGGTCATCATCAAAACTTAGCAGCCATCTTTTGATGGCACTCCCCGGGGTGCAAGCACCTGGGATGCCAGTGGTGTTCCCTGCCCATCCTGGGAAGGCAAGCACTGTGCCTCTCAGACCCATGCTTCCTGCTTGCCATCCTGGGGGATGATAGTATCGCAGATGTAATGTAGGGAGACATGCACCCAGCATGCCTGTGGAGCATCCCTATAGTCCCAGCAACCACTTGGGGCAATTGCCAGCCAGGGATGGAAGGCAGAAATGGGGGGACATGGCAAGACTCCATGGTAGCTCAGGCCAGGTGGAGGCTAGGACCAATGCCTATGGTCAGAGGGAGGGTGACAGGCCAGCCTTGCTGTCTGGGTGCAATAGCATTCCTCCATGGCAGAAGCTATCCTCTCTATAGCCACGACCGTGGCAGCAGCCACCACAGGCACTGCAGTCGCTACCTGAGCTACAGCCGTGGCCTTGGCAGTAGCTGCCTTCTCGACAGTTGTGGCTGTTCTATTGATGGCAATGGCCGCATCAACCAGAAAGGACTCCCACGCATCTACAGCATCAACCAGGATGTTACCTGCTCCTCCCCAGCCTCAGAAGACTGCTGAAGAGCCTGTAGAGCGGATGCTGTCTCTTCCTGCCTGACCCCATAGGAAGAAAGCCAATGCTCAGCAGTCTCTGCTTGGCGTGCAGATAAGTCTCCAATGTCATCAAGGAGCTGACCGCGGTACTCTCTCCGTCACCTTTGGCTATGGGATATCCTCTGGGCTGAAGTGTCCACTTGAGGCCATGTGGCACCATCTGCGCTGCTAGATGCAGAGGCCTCTCTCACCCGTATGATTTCCTGGGGATTGAGACAAGAAAAAGAAAGAAGCAATGGCACGGAGACAGTTTCCAAAGGTCTGGCTCAACCCTATGTGCTGGCCACATGTGCATTCAGCCCTTCAATCAGTCCCCCACAAATGTGACAGGTGTCCTGACATCAGTGCATTCACATCAGGATTTCAAAACACTACAAGTTTTAAGACAGTATGAGGGGTAAATTGTGCTTGCCTTGCTCTGCCCGGGCACATTCATGGGAACAGCAAGACCAGAGTGCAACTCCACCACGGTAAGTGCCCTCCTGGCTACCAACTCTACCCAAGCTGCTCCAGGGGGTCTGAAGGCTGGCCTGCTAGGTCACAGGACACCGGCCGGTCTGCGACACGAGGCCAGAGATGCAGGGTGAGTAGAAACAAGTCTGAGACTAGATTAGGCTTTTCCACCCTGGGACTGCTGGGGAATAGAGCTGCAGCTTCTCTCTTCACCACAGCCCAACCAGCAGAGGCATGTTTCTGACTATTGTCAAGCCCATCCTGAACCCCTTGCAGCCCCAGGGAACAGGGAAGACTGGTGCCCAGCCCTAGACATCCCCAAGACCTGGCCAGGTTCGGCAGAGGCCTGGGCTCTGGGTGAGCAGCCGCCTCGGTCAAATTCAGTAATCAGCACTAAGGGCAAAGGGCAGGGACGGTGGGGGAGGTTCATGGTTGCACAAGCTTGGGGGCCAGAGCAGCGCAAGGTAGGATTCACAAGCAGTGCTTGCTATGAAGGGGATGTTTGGCCAGGTAGGGGGATGACCTATGAATGAAATAATTTACCCTTGAACAGGCCTGGCTGGCAGTCCATATAATGCATGGGCGTGCTACTGATTGACACCACTCATGCACTGGACACATCACAAAGCCTTCGTCCTCCTGGTTAAGTGCTGCAGCGGGGGTCAATCAATCAGCACGGCCTGTAATCCCAGTTCCTAGCTAGCCCTGGCGTGCAAAGGTGAACACCCGCAAGTTAGGATGCCAAGACATCCCAAGATGAGACCCCATCTCAAAGCCCAAGCCCACCCCCAAGATCCCATCTGTCACCCTCCAACGCCCCCAAACAGCACACCAGGCCAACACCACGCATCCTCTCCCCCACACAAGCCCCGACTTACCGAAGAGGTTTCCTGCAGGGTACTCAATTTCTGGGATCTCTGACTTGCAACCATCCTGTCCTGGGGCCACCTCCTGGCTCTCCTGCGTTCCAGGTTCAGCGATGGGGCTCAGGATCAGGGCCATGGAGGACACCAGGTCCTCACAACTTCGTTGGTGGGCAGAAGATGGCTGTTGGGAGGAGGCTGACTCACCGCTGTCCCCCTCTTGCTGGTCACAGCAGACGGGGCCCAAAACTGTGCACTGGACTGTATGGTGAGAAGCCACAGCGTGATCCCTCTCAAGGATGTCTGCAATCTCTTTGTGGAAGGGGATCGTGTTCTTGGCTGCCCCAGGCACCCTGTTGGCATCCCTGCCCCTCACATAGAGGGATTTCAGGGACTTTATCTTGGTCCTGACCTGGAGCCAGTCCCGCTGATGTCCCCGTGCCACCATCTGCGCCGCAATCCTCTCACAAACCGCCTGATTCTGCCGGGTTCCTTTAGTCCCCTTTGCTGCAGCTGCAATGGCTCTCCTCACCTCTCCCCATATCGCGATCAGGTCCAGCACCTCACCACGGCTCCAATTAGGTGCCCGCTTGACAGAGTCCAGGGCGGGCATCTTTTGGCTCACGCTGGCTGAGTGAGCTGGAGGTTGATGGAGGAAAAGTTTATATTTGTAAGCTGGCTAGCTGGTATGTGCTCTACAGGCTGTTTGCATGGGGTTGTACCCTGATGGGGGGGAAGATGACACCCCTGGGAGCTGGCTTGGTTTGAGAACTGCTCCCTGTGCAAGAGAGTTCAGGGAATGCAAAAGTTGGTCCACACAGATGTAAGGGGGTGGAGAGGCATCACTGTATCTCAGGATACTGGAGGACTTCAACTTGGATGGATCATCTCTAGGGAGCAGCCACAATTTAATGAATCAGGAGCTGAGTAGTGCGGATCAGACATAATCCTGCACTAGAGTGGCCTAATTGAGCCTCATAACGAGTGCTTAAAACATTTGAAGGTGTTAATGAGAGAAAAATACAGGGGTTAAGAGCTCCAGGAGCTACCCAAAATGACTGGGTAGCAAAGCCCTTACAAAGATAAGCCATTCTGTCAGCCCTTGCCCTCAAAGACCCCTTCTGGGATGGGCGAATGCGCAGCTAATGAACCAGGCTTGAAATTTACTCTCTCTTCTGGAAGAAGCAGAGCTCTGCTCCCTACCTGCTTGCACTGAAGGGCCAGATCCAGGGAATGAGCCCACAGAGCTGTCCTCTGCCAAGCAGTCCCAGGCATCAGAGAAATCTGCACCATGACAAAGACTCTGGGGTTAAACTGCACATGGACTCTAGGTCTCAGGCTTGTGGCACTGGAGGCCTCAGACACGTAGCAGAAAGAGGGAGATTCCTGTGCAGACCAAGAGGGATTAATATCCCCCAGAGCAGAGCACAGCATCCCACCTGCATCTGGGACCCAGGTAATGGGTGGAAATCCCCAGTCACTCTACAGTCCAATCCCAATGGGCTCCCTGAGCTCCGGACCACCAAGACCATTGCTAAGGGATAATATAATGCCACTGAGTCACGGTATCGCCTCTTACACTGCACACTGAAGGTCCACTTTCCAATCCATGGTTCCCCAAGGATACCAGATTTGTACTAAATATTGAGATGTGAGGTAAGGCTTTGGCCCTACCACTGCATTACTTCCCTGGGATTAGAGATGACCCCCTGTAAAGAGATCACCTGAAAAGGTTGTGGCAGGAACCTCCAAGTTCATTTTTCCCTCCAGTTAACCACAGATATCACCCTGTCATCACCTGCCTCATCCTGATTGAAATTTAGCCCAACAATACATGCTCCACATTGTGCAATGAACTGATTAAATGTAGTTTCCTTTGAGATGACCAACATGTAGCTATAGCATGATAACAAGCTCAAACTATAAAGTTACACCTTGACAAGGTGTTCTAACTTTTGCCTGATTGCAAAGATGGGAATGGGGATGGCCCTTGAATGAATGAAAACATTTACCCTTGAACAGGCCTGGCTGGCAGTCCATATAATGCATGGGCGTGCTACTGATTGACACCACTCATGCACTGGACACATCACAAAGCCTTCGTCCTCCTGGTTAAGTGCTGCAGCGGGGGTCAATCAATCAGCACGGCCTGTAATCCCAGCTCCTAGCTATCCCAGAGTGCAAAGGTGATCACCCGCAAGCTAGGACCCCAAGACACCCCAAGATAAAACCCCATCCCAAAGCCCCAAGCCCACCCCCAAGATCCTATCCATAACCCTCCAAAGCCCCCAAACACCATACCAGGCCAACACGAGAGACACTCTCCCCAACCTAAACCACAGCTTACCAGAGAGGTTTCCTGCAGGATGCTCAATTTCTGGGACCTCTGACTTGCAACCATCCTGTCCTGGGGCCACCTCCTGAGTCTCCTGCGTTCCAGGTTCAGCGATGGGGCTCAGGATCAGGGCCACGGAGGACACCAGATCCTCAGACCTTTCCTGGAGGGCAGCAGGAAGCTGCTGGGAGGAGGCTGCCTCACCGCTGTTCCCCTCTTGCTGGTCACAGCAGAAAGGGCCCAAGGCTGTGCACTGGACTGTGTAGCGAGGAGCCACAGCGCGATCCCTCTCAAGGATGTCTGCAAGCTCTTTGTGGAAGGGGATCATGTTCTTGGCTGCCCCAGGCACCTTATTGGCATCCCTGCCCTTCACATAGAGGGATTTCAGGGACTTTATCTTGGTCCTGACCTGGAGCCAGTCCCGCTGATGCCCCCGTGCCACCATCTGCGCCGCAATCCTCTCACAAATGGCCTGTTTCTGACGGTTTCCTTTAGATCCCTTTCCTGCAGTTGCAATGGCTCTCCTCATCTCTCCCCATACCGTGATCAGGTCCAGCACCTCACCACGGCTCCAATTAGGTGCCCGCCTGACGGAGTCCAGGGGGGGCATCTTTTCACTCATGCTGCCTGAGGTCAAAGAAGGAAATGTTTAAGTGTGCTGGTTCGTGTGTGCTCTGCGGGCTGTTTGCACGGGGCTCCATCCCCTAGGGGTAGGAAGGTCACAGCCCCATGGGGTGGGCAGGGGGAGTTGGCTCGGTTTCAGAACTACCCACTGGGCAGTAGATTTCAGGGGTGGGATTTTTGTCCACACAGAAGAGGGGAGTGGGAGAAGGGCCACTTCATCCTGGGATACTGGACTCAAACTTGGGTGAATCACCCGCAGGAAGTGACCACAGCTTAATGGACCAGGAGCTGGGTAGTGCAGACCAGAGATAATCCTACCCTGGAGTGACCTAAATTTGAGCCACATAATGAGCGCTTGATAATGCAGCCACTTGAAGGTGTTAGTGTGCGGACAATCCAGGAGCTAAAAGCTTCAGGGGCCACCCACAATTACCATGCAACAAGGCCCTTACAGAGATAAGCCATTCTGCCAGCCCTCATCCCTCAAGGACACCTTTTGGGATGGGAAAACGTGCAGCTAATGAACCAGGCTTGAAATCTGCTCTATCTTCTGAAAGAAACAGAGCTCTGCTTCCTACCTGCTTGCACTGACGGGCCAGATCCGGGGAAGGAGCCCACAGAGCTGTCCTCTGCCAACGAGTCCCAGGCATCAGAGAAATCTGCACCATGACAAAGACCTTGGGGTTAAACTGCACATGGACTCTAGGTCTCTGGGCTTGTGGCCCTGAAGGCCCCAGAGATGCAGAAGAAAGAGAGAGATTCTGGTGCAAACCAGGGTTTCTATCCCCCACAACAGAGCATCCCACTTGCATCAGGGACCCAAGTAATATGTAGAAAAGTCCCAGTCTCTCTAGAGTCCAATCCAATGGGCTCCCAGGTCCCCTGACCACCAAAGCAAGTGCTAAGGGATAAAACCATGCCCTTGAAGGGGTATCAGCAATCACATTCCTGACTGAAGGTGCATGTTCCAGTCCATGGTTCCCAAAGATACCAGACATGTACTGAATATTGAGATGTGAGGTGAGGCTTTGGTTCTACCACTGCATGACTTTCCTGGGGATGGAGATAACCCCCTGTAAAGAGAACACCTGCAAAGGTGGTATCCCTAGCATAGGGGTGGGCAAAATGCAGCCCGCGGGCTGGATGCAGCCCACCAGGCCATTCTATCCAGCCCACAGGGCCCCTAAAAAGTTTAGAAAATTAATATTTATCTGACCCTGGCTGCCTGTCATGCAGCACTTGATGGCTTGCGTAACTCAGCCATCAAAACTCAGTAAGCAGCCCTCTGCCCAAAATAATTGCCCACCCCTGCTCTAGCAGGAACCTCCAAGCGCATTTTTCCTCTAGTTAACCATGGTATCGCCCTGCCCTCACCTGCCCCATCCTGATCCAAATGTAGGCCACCATTACATGTTACAGGCATTATGCAATGAGCTGATTTATTATGTATATAGCTTGAGAGCAGCTACAGATGTAAAGTAATTATTACACAATAAAAAGCTCCACCCAATTATTAAGCTACTCTTCAAAACTCTGTTCTAACTTTATGGCTGACTGCGAAGATGGGGATGGGCCTGGCCCCCGAATGAAATCTTTTACCCTTGAATAGGCCTGGCTGGATGGACATCGAGGGAATGGATGTGCCACTGATTGCCAAATCATGGATTGAGGACATCAGAATGCCTTCACACTCCTGGCTAAATGCTGGCGTAAAGAACAATCAACCAGCATCGCCTGTAATCCCGGCTCCTAGCTAGCCCAGTGTGTAAAGGTGCCTACACCCAGGCTAGGGCCCCCAAAAAACCCATCCCAGAGCCACCCCCATGCTGCCATCCAGCACCCTCCAAAGCTACAAAACAGCACACCAGGCCAACACCAGCCAGCCTCTCCCTCATCCAAACCCCAGCTTACCAAAGAGGTTTCCTGCAGGGTGCTCGATTTCTGGGACCTCTGACTTGCAACCATCCTGTCCTGGGGCCACCTCCTGGGTCTCCTGCGTTCCAGGTTCAGCGATGGGGCTCAGGATCAGGGCCACGGAGGACACCAGGTCCTCACAACTTTCCTGGGGGGCAGCAGGCAGTTGTTGGGAGGATGCTGCTTCACCGCTGTCCCCCTCTTGCTGGTCACAGCAGACGGGGCCCAAGGCTGTGCACTGGACTGTATGGCAAGGAGCCACAATATGATCCCCCTCAAGGATGTCTGCAAGCTCTTTGTGGAAGGGGATCGTGTTCTTGGCTGCCCCATGCACCCTCTTGGCACCCCTGCCCCTCACATAGAGGGATTTCAGGGACTTTATCTTGGTCCTGACCTGGAGCCAGTCCCGCTGATGCCCCCATGCCACCATCTGCGCCGCAATCCTCTCACAAACAGCCTGTTTCTGACGGTTTCCCTTAGTTCCCTTTGCTGCAGTTGCAATGGTTCTCCTCATCTCTCCCCATATCGCGATCAGGTCCAGCACCTCACCGTGGCTCCAATTGGGTGCCCGCTTGATGGGGTCCAGAAGGGGCATCCTTTGGTTCACGCTGCCTAAGTAATCTGGAGGTCAATGGAGGAAAAGTCTAGGCTCACTAGCTGCCTAGCTCTGCAGGCTGTTTGCAGGGGGTTGCACCCATGAGTGGTGGGAAGGTCACAACCCTGGGGGCAGGACGGGAGTTGACTTGGTGCCAGATCTGCCCCCGGGCAGTAGAATGCAGGGGGTGGAATGTTTGTCCACACAAAAGAGGAGGGTTGGAAGAGGGGCACTGCACCTTGGGATACTGGAGGACTCAAACTCATATCTGGGGAGGGGCCATACCTTAATGGAACAGGAGCTGGGTTGTGCAGAACAGAGTTAATTCTGCCCACGAGTGGCCTAACTTTGAGCCACATTATGAGTGCCTACAACCACTTGAAGGTGTTAAGGTGCAGACAATCCAAGAGCTAAGAGCTCCAGGAGCAACCCAAAATTACCGTGCAAGAGGGCCCTTACAGTGAAAAGCCATTCTAGGTCAGCCCTCATCCCTCAAGGACACCTTTTGGGATGGGAGACTGCGCAGATAATGAGCCAGGCTTGAAATGCGCTCTCCCTTCTGGAAGAAGCACAGCTCTGTTTCCTACCTGCTTGTACTGAAGGCTCCGGTCCAGGGAATGAGCCCACAGAGCTGTCGTCTGCCAAGGAGTCCCAGGCATCAGAGAAATCTGCAACATGACAAAGAACTTGGGGTTAAACTGCACATGGACTCTAGGTCTCAGGCTTGTGACACTGGAGGCCCCAGAGATGCAGCAAAAAGAGGAAGATTCTGGTGCAGACCAGGAGGGGTTCACATCCCCCAGAGCAGAGCAAAGCAGAGCAGAGCAGAGCATCCCACCTGTGCCTGGGAACCAGGTAATGGGAAGGAAAGCCCCAGCCTCTGCACAGTCAGTTCCCCACAGGCTTCCAGAGTCCCTGACAACCAACACAATTGCTAAAGGGTAATACAATGCCATGAAGCGGTGGTATCACGTCTTACACTGATGACTGAGGGTGGACATTCCAGTCCTTGGTTCCCCAGGGATACCAGATTTGTACTGAATATTGAGATGTCAAGTGAGTCTTTGGCCCTACCATAGCTGACTTCCTAGGGGTTGGGTGGAGCGGCCCCCCCACCCATATAGACCCCACCTTCAAAGGGGGCTGTGGTCGCCTCCAAAACCATTTTTCAATCCAGTTAACCCAGGGTATCGCTCAAGCCTCAGCTGCCCTACGCCGAGGGAAACTCAGGCCACTACTACACATTAGAGGCATCATGCAAATAACCAGTTAACTGCGCATTTACCTTGAGAGCAGGTACACTTGGAAAGCATTTATAACACAATACAAAGTTCCAACCACCTTTAAAATTGCACTTCAAAAGCTGTTCTAACTTTCTAGCTGGTTGCAAGGATGGGAATCGGGATGGCCCGTGAATTTACCCTTGAATAGGCCTGGGTGGCTGGCCATGGAAAGCATGCGCATGCTACGGATCGACAACACTCACGCGCTAGGCACATCACAATGTCTTTTTCCTCCTGGCTAACTGCTGGGGTAGGGAGGCCATCAATCAATGTGGCCTCTAACTCCAGCTCCTAGCTAGCCCAGTTTGCAGAGGTGCCCACCCCTAAGTTAGGGCCCCACAACACTGCAAGCTAAGGCCCCATCTCAAAGCCCCAAGCCTAGCCACAAGCCCCCATCCATCATCCTCCAAAGCCACCAAACACACCAGGCAAAAACCAGCCACCTTCTACCCCATCTAAACCCCGACTTACCAGAGAGGTTTCCTGCAGGATGCCCAATTTCTGGGACCTCTGACTTGCAACCATCCTGTCCTGGGGCCACCTCCTGGGTCTCCTGCGTTCCAGGTTCAGCGATGGGGCTCAGGATCAGGGCCATGGAGGACACCAGGTCCTCACAACTTTCTTGGGGGGTAACAGGCAGCTGCTGGGAGGAGGCTGCCTCACCTCTGTCCCCTTCTTTCTGGTCACAGCAGGAAGGGCCCAAGGCTGTGTGCTGGACTGTATAGCAAGGAGCCACAGCGCGATCCCTCTCAAGGATGTCTGCAAGCTCTTTGTGGAAGGGGATCGTGTTCTTGAGTCCCGCTGATGCCCCCGTGCCACCATCTGTGCCACATAGAGGGATTTCAGGGACTTTATCTTGGTCCTGACCTGGAGCCAGTCCCGCTGATGTCCCCGTGCCACCATCTGTGCCGCAATCATCTCACAAACCGCCTGTTTCTGCCGGGTTCCTTTAGTCCCCTTTGCTGCAGCTGCAATGGTCCTCCTCATTTCTCCCCATATCGCGATCAGGTCCAGCACCTCACCACGGCTCCAATTAGGTGCCCGCCTGACGGAGTCCAGGGTGGGTATCTTTTGACTCATGCTGCCTGAGTGAGCTGGAGGTGAAAGAAGGAAACATTTAAGCTTGCTAGTTCCTTTGTGCTCTGCGGGCTGTTTGCACGGGGTTCCATCTCTTAGGGGTAGGAAGGTCACAACCCTGCAGGCTGCAGGGTGGGGAGGGAGTAGGCTTAGTTTCAAAATGCCCCCTGGGCAGTGGAATGAAAGGACAGGGTAATCGTGTCAGCACAGAGTTGAAAAGTTTGTCCACACACAGGTTTTTCCACACAGAAGGGGGTGGGGGGAGGTGGGAAGTGGCCACAGCTTAATGGACCAGGAGCTGGGTAGTGCAGAACAGAGATAATCCTACCCTGGAGTGGCCTAAGTTTGAGCCACATGATGAGTGCTTACAGCCACTTGAAGGTGATAGTATATGGACAATCCAGGGGCTAAGAGCTCCAGGGGCCACCCAAAATGACTGTGTAACAAGGGCCCAACAGAAGTAAGCCATTCTGTCAGCCCTCATCCCTCAAGAACATCTTTTGGGAGAATGTGCAGCTAATGAGCCCGGCTTGAAATGAGCTCTCTCTTCTGCAAGAAGCAGAGCTCAGCTTCCTACCTGCTTGCACTGAGGGGCCAGATCCAGGGAATGAGCCCACAGAGCTGTCCTCTGCAAAGGAGTTGCAGATTTCTCTGATGCCTGGAACATGACAAAGACTTTGGGGTTAAAGTGCACATAGACTCTAGGTCCCAGCGCTTGTCATGCTGAAGGCCGCAGAGATGCAACAGAAAGAGGGAGATTCTGGTGCAAACCAGAAAGGGTTTATATCATGCAGAGCCGAGCACAGCAGAGCAGAGCATCCCTCCTGCCCCTGGGAGCCAGATAATGGGTGGAAAAGCCCCAGTCCCTCCAGAGTCCAATCCCCACTGGCTCCCAGACTTCCTGATCACCAAGACAACTGCTAATGGATTACACCATGTCTCTGAGTGTAGTATCACATCTTACATTGCTGACTGTAGGTGGACAGTCCAGCCCATGGTTCCCCGTGGAGACCAGATTTCTACCAAATGTCAGGTGAGGTACAGCCATACCACTGTACGACTTCCCTGTGGGGGAGGGACTGACCCCCATAAAGAGATAACCTAAAACAGTGGCTATGGCACCCTAGCAGCTGCCTCCATGCCCATCTTTCACTCCACTTAACCTAGGATATTGCCCTAGCCTCCCCTGTCATATCCTGACCGAAACCTAAGCCACCACTACATGTTACAGGCATCGTCCAACTAACTGGTTAAATGCACAATTCCCTTGATATCGGGTACACGTTCAAAGTATTATTTCACAATAAAAACTCCAACGAGGTATAACTTACACCTCTAAAACGTCTTCTAAAATCACTGGTTGCAAAGATGGGGATGGGGACGGCCCATGAATGAAAACATTTACCATTGACTAGACTTGGCTGGCTCGGCATGAAATGCAGGGGCATCACTCATGCCCCAGGCACATCACAATTCCTGTCTTCCTGGGCAGTGCTGGTGTAGGGGGGGCAATCAATCAGCTGCAGCTAAACCTAGGTCCTAGTTAGCCCAGTTTGCAAAGGTGCCCACCCCCAAGCTAAGGCCCCAAACACTGCAATAAAGGACCCCGCCCCCAAGCTCCCATCTATCACCCTCCAGAGCACCCAAACACCACACCAGGTGAACACCAGCCACCCTCTCCCCCATCCAAACCCCGACTTACCAGAGAGGTTTCCTGCAGGATGCTCAATTTCTGGGACCTCTGACTTGCAACCATCCTGTCCTGGGGCCACCTCCTGCGTTCCAGGTTCAGCGATGGGGCTCAGGATCAGGGCCACGGAGGACACCAGGTCCTCACAACTTTCTTGGGGGGCAGCAGGCAGCTGCTGGGAGGAGACTGCCTCACCGCTGTCCCCCTCTTCCTGGTCATAGCAGACAGGACCCGAGGCTGTGCACCGGACCGTATGGTAAGGAGCCACAATGTGATCCCTCTCAAGGACGTCTGCAAGCTCTTTGTGGAAGGGGATCGTGTTTTTGGCTGCCCCAGGCACCCTACTGGCATCCTTGCCCCTCACATAGAGGGATTTCAGGGACTTTATCTTGGTCCTGACCTGGAGCCAGTCCCTCTGATGTCCCCGTGCCACCATCTGCGCCGCAATCCTCTCACAAACGGCCTGTTTCTGACGGTTTCCTTTAGTCCCCTTTGCTGCAGTTGCAATGGCTCTCCTCACCTCTCCCCATATCGTGATGAGGTCCAGCACCTCACCACGGCTCCAATTGGGTGCCCGCCTGACAGAGTCCAGCGGGGGCATCCTTTGGCTCATACTGGCTGAGAGAGCTGCAGGACAATAGAGAAAAAAATTATGCTCACTAGCTATTATGTGGTTTGCCAGCTGTTTGCGTGTGGTTGCATCGCTGAGCAACATGAAGGACATGGGAGGGGGAGTTGGCCAGGTTTCAGATCTGCCTTCTGGGCAACAGAGATCAGGGGGTGGAACGTTTGTCCACACAGAAGAGAAGGCTGGAGAGAGGCACTGCCTCCTGGGTACCGGTGACTCCAGCAGCCACCCAAAATTACCAGGTACCAAGCTCCCATCAGAGAAAAGCCAATCTATGTCAGCCCTCATCCCTCAAGGACACCTTTTGGGATGGGAGAATATGCATCTAGTGAGCAAGGCTGGAAATGAGCTCTCCCTTCTGGAAGAAGCAAAGCTCTGCTCCCTACCTGCTTGCACTGAAGGGTCAGGTCCAGGGAAGGAGCCCACAGAGCTGTCCTCTGCCAAAGGGTCCCAGGCATCAGAGAAATCTGCAACATGACAAAGACCTTGGGGTTAAACAGCACAAGGACACTAGATCTCAGTGCTTGTGACACTGAAGGCCCCAGAGACACAACAGAAAGAGGGAGATTATTGTGCAAACCAGAAGGGGTTTATATCCCCCAGCGCAGAGGAACCCACCTGCCCCTAGGAACCAGGTAACGGGTGGGAAAGCCCCAGTCTCTCTATAATCTAACCCCCCCTGGCTCCCAGAGCTCCTGACCATCGAGACAATTGTTAAGGGATAATCCCATGTCCTTGAGCAGGAGTATAACCTATTTACACTGGTGACTGGAGATGGATATACCCATCCATGGTTCCCCAGGGTTATTTTATTTGGACTGAAAATTGAGATATCAGGCCATACTACTGCATGAGTCTCCAGGGCGTGGAGCTGACCCCTTATAATGAGACCAGCTACACAGGGGGCTGTGGCAGCCCTATTAGCCACCTCCAAACCCTGTTAACCTAGGGTGCCGCCCTGACCTCAACTGCCATATCCTGATGGAAACGTAGGCCGCCTCTATAGGTTACAGGCATTGTGCAACTAACCAGTTTAATGTACAAATACCCGGAGACCAGCTACACATGCAAAGCACTTATCTCATGATAAAAAGCTGCAACCAGCTATAAAGGCAAACTTTGAAAATGTATTCTAACTTTATAGCTGGTTGGGAGGGTGGGAATGGCCCACGAATGAAATCATTAACCCACAGAATCAAAGAATCATAGAAAATTGGGATTGGAAGAGACCTCAGGATGTCATCTATTCCAACCCCTGCTCAAAGAAGGACGATCCCTGACTATACCATCACACCAAGGCTTTGTCTAGCCAGTTCTTAAAAACTTCAAAAAGGCTGAATAGGCCTGGCTGGCCGGCCATGTAACGTATGGATGTGCCACCGACTGACATTTCTCCGGCACTGAGCACATAACAATGCCTTCATCCTTCTAGTCACTGGATGGTGTGGTGGGGCAATCAATTAGCATGGCCTGAAATCCCAGCACCTAGATAGCCCAGCATGCAGACATTCCCACCCCCATCTAGGTCCCCAAGACACCCAAGCTAAGACCCCCATCTCAAAGCCCCAAGCTGCCATCCAGCACCCTTCAAAGCCCCCAAACAAACCAGTCCAACACCAGCCACCCTCTCTCCCACCCAAACTCCAATTTACCAGAGAGGTTTCCTGCAGGATGCTCAATTTCTGTGACTTCTGACTTGCAACCATCCTGTCCTGGGGCCACCTCCTGGGTCTCCTGCATTCCAGGTTCAGCAATGGGGCTCAGGATCAGGGCCATGGAGGACCCTAGATACTCACAACTGTCTTGGGGGGCAGCAGGCGGCTGCTGGGAGGAGGCTGCCTCACCGCTGTCCCCCTCTTGCTGGTCCGAGGCTGTGCACTGGACTGTATAGCGAGGAGCCACAGCGTGATCCCTCTCAAGGATGTCTGCAAGCTCTTTGTGGAAGGGGATCGTGTTCTTGGCTGCCCCAGGCACCCTCTTGGCATCCCTGCCCCTTACATAGAGGGATTTCAGGGACTTTATCTTGGTCCTGACCTGGAGCCAGTCCCGCTGATGCCCTCGTGCCACCATCTGTGCTGCAATCCTCTCACAAATGGCCTGATTCTGCCGGTTTCCTTTAGTCCCCTTCGCTGCAGTTGCAACCGTCCTCCTCACTTCTCCCCATATCGCGATGAGGTCCAAGACCTCACCACGGCTCCAATTAGGTGCCCGCTTGGTGGGATCCAGGGGGGACATCCTTTGGCTCATGCTGCCTGATAGAGCTGAAGGTTGAAGGAGGAAAAGTTTACGTTCATTAGCTGGCTAGCTGGTATGTGCTCTACAGGCTGTTTGCATGGGGCTGCATCCTCAAGGGATGGGAAGGTCACACTCCCGGGGGGGCAGGAAAGGCAGTTGGCTTGGTTTCTAAGCTGCCTGCTGGGCAGTAGGGTTCAGGAGATGGAAAGTTTGTCCATAGAGAAGAGGAGGGTGGGAGAGGTACCACTGCATGCTGGGATACTGAAAAAGTCCAACTTGGGTGGATCATCTTTGTGGAGTATCCACACCTTAACAGAACAGGAGCTGGATAGAGATAATTCTGCCATGGAGTGGCCCATGTTTGAGCTTCATAATGAGTGTTTAAAATCACTTGAAGGTGTTAGTATGTGGACAATCCAGGGTTAAGAGTCCAGGGGCCACCCAAAATGACCATGTATCAAGGCCCTTCTTTGCAGAAAAGCCAATCTATGTCAGCTCTCATCCCTCAAGGGCACCTTTTGGGATGGAAGAACGTGCAGCTAATGAGCTAGGCTGCAAATGAGCTTTCTATTCTGGAAGAAGCAGAGCTCTGCTTCCTACCTGCTTGCACTGAAGAGCCAGGTCCAGGGAATGAGCCCACAGAGCTGTCCTCTGCCAAGGAGTCCCAGGAATCAGAGAAATCTGCACCATGACAAAGACCTTGGGGTTAAACTGCACGTGGACTCTAGGTCTCCGGGCTTGTAACACTGAAGGCCCCCAAGATGCAGCAGAAAACGGGAGATTCTGGTGCGAACCAGGAGGGGTTTATATCCTCCAGAACAGAGCACAGCAGCCCACCTGCATCTGGAACCCAGGTAATGGGTGGAAAACCCCCGGTCTATGTCCAGTCAGAGCTCCTGACCACCAAAACACTTGCAAAGAGATAATATCATGCCCTTCTGGGAGGGGGGAAGTATCAGCAATCACGTCCCTGACTGAAGGTGGACGTTCCAGTCAATGGCTCCCCAAGGATACCAGAATTGTAAGGAATAGAGATGTCACGTGAGGCTTTGGCCCTACCACTGCACAAATTTCCTGGGGGTGGAGCTGACCCCCAGAAAGAGACCACCCGCAAAGCGGGCTGTGGCACCCCCAGCAGCCACTTCCAAGCCCATTTTTCACTCCACTTAACCCAAGGTATTGCTCTGTCCTCACCTACCCTATCCTGATGGAAACTTAAGACACCTCTGCACGTACAAGGCATCATTAAATTCACTGGTTCATTGCTCAATTCCCTAGAGACAGGTACTGCAAAGGTACTTATCATGTAATGAAAAGCTCCAACCGGATATGAATTACACCTCAAAAACGTGTTCTAACTATATCGGTAGTTGCTAATAGCTTTAACTTGCTTGCGCAGCATTGTCTCTCTTGTGGCTGGGGGCCCCCTCACCAGCCATGGCCCCCCAGCCATAGGGATGCACCTTGCCCAGTTGGGGCTGCATGCACTCAGCCCCAACAGCTACAGACTCTGGGTCCCAGCAGCAACCCACAGCTTCCAGGACCCAGCCTCCCACAGCTGGGGACGCTGGGTCTGCGCAGCATGCCTCCTGGTGCTGGGACCCAGCTGGTCCCAGCAGCCGCACGGTGTGACTACAATCTTGCAGCCCCTGGGGCGCATGAAATATTGCAACAACTAAATCTCCCCTCTAGGCTTTCCTGCACCTCAGGGTCTGGGGAAATCACCACATCTTTGTTTCCCAGCCACAGTGGTGTGTGAAGTGCCCCCATGTCTTCAAGCCCCTCAGCTGTGGGGGGCTGCCGAGCACAAGGTCTTACTCCTTGCCAGTGCAGCCTGCACCATCAAGAAGGCGCAATGGGATCCCATAAGTTCTCTCACAATCGCACCTCCTGCCACATGCGTGGTATGGCAGGAGGCACTATTGAGTGAATCGCACATTAGATCCCATTGTACCCTTGCCTCCATGTGTAGAGGGGCCTTCATGGAAATTTTGGAGGCTGCATTCAGATTACTGAAGTAAGAGCTTAGGTGCCCCACTCATCGGGTCACCTCACTCTGGCCCGGTCCTCTAACTCTTTCTCTGAACATGGCATCTCTGTCCTTAATTGGCCTCAGCCAACCTGCTCCCGCAGTCTATACCTCTGAAGCCCCCTCAATTGTCAGTCCCTGTGTGGGGCTCTCTCTCTAACCAACCCCTCTCCCCAACTATCTGTCCCTGTCCAGGTCTCACTCATGAGAATCCAGTCCAGCAGCCAGGCCAGGCTTATAGACTCTGGGTCACTTTGCCTTTCCCTCACCAGGAGGGCCCAGGTGTTCCTCTTTTGCCTTTAGTAGGTTTATCGCTCTGCAACCCACAACCTGCAGACCTCTAACAGGTACCTGCAACACTGCAGCCTTAGGGCACTGCCTCCCTCCAAGTAACAGGGGTTGAGGTCTCTGCTCCACCCTCCCACTGAGACCGAAACCCATGCCAAGGTACCTGAGGCTCAGTGTCCACAGGAAGGTAATAGGAAGCATTGCTGAATGGATGAATTTGGATTTCATGCCCCTTTTTCAGGGAAGAGGAAAGGAACAGTTGCCTGTGCCCACGTCACTGAATTGCAAGGAGTTTAAACACACACCAGCCTGGATTAGCACTGATTAGGGTAAGCTTTTAGAGGTCAGTCGTTCAACTGGAGCTCAGGGCTCATTTCCAAGGTACCAGCTCCCCCTGTCATTCTGGTACTGAGCAATGCTATGGAGATGGGGCAGGGGGGATTGACAGCACTCACCTGGGGACAGGTTCTTAGACCACGCGCTTTCTCCAGGGTCCTTATCATCACAGACCCAGAGCTCCACCTCCCCTCGCTGGATGCGGCAGATCAAGTCTGGTGTGGGACCTTGATATCCTGCGTGGTGTAATGCAAAGACAGGCGATTATGTCTGGCTACTCTCCATACAGTGTCCAGCTGGGATTTGGGGAACAGATCCAATGGAATCAAACATTTTAAGGGACCTTGAAGGAACAGAGACGGTGGACATATAGCACCAAGGAGACACCACTGCAAGCAGAAGCCTCCAAAAAGGTGATGGTTTTTGTCACCCGGGTAAAGTGGAAGTATGTCACATGGACTATAAAGCATCAACCACCCGAGTATATAAAGGGTATAAAACTCCTTGTACTACTACAGAAGGCGAATACAGGTGCAGTGACCTGTGATGTTTTAGGAAGACAAAAAAGAAAGCTCTCATTTATTTGCCAGTACCAAAAGTACAAGAGAGAGAGAATAGACATGTATAGATAGATATGACTTGTGTGATTATCAGGGCACAGAACTGGAAATAGAGTTATTCTCTATGAAGTTTGGAGTGACCGCTCTTGGAAGTGAAGAGCCAATGATAGCTGGATGACAATGAAACCTCGTATGGGAGAGAAAAAGCAATTCGCATCAATAGGGTAGGGAAAAGGATGACTTTAAAATAAGTGTAGAGGCAACTATATGCTGACCCCCGCTACAGTCTGAGGGACCAAGGTAGTTCCAAGAGACTTGTCCCAGCAAAATTAAGTAGTCCAAAACGAGGATTTATATGAAGACTTTACTAAAGCCTTTACGTTATAATGTGTAAATTACAGAATTTTCTCAAACTACTGTTATTCCAATTCCAACCAAAAAAATCTTTTTAAATTTTGACGAAAAGAAATGATTTACAAATAGGCTATGGAACGAAGGGAAAAATGGTTATGCATAAAACAAGATGGTTATACATCTAAAAGAAATAAAGACTTCAATTCCCGGGGGAAAAGAAAAAAAGTTACATATTTCCTGAAGTCTAAGATTAAAAACAAAAAACCAAACCCACCAACAAGCAGACAGTCTGTTAAGGCCACCTACTTTACCCGAGTTACTGAGACTAAATTGAGAAACCAAGGGTATCTAGTATCTGCAGATGGGTTCCTCTACCTGAACTAGATTTTGAAGGAAAAACAGAGAGACCCGCATTTTCATTAGGCAATTAATGATATGAAGTGGCCTTAATGTTACTATCAAAAGCAGGCCTTCTATGTTCTGTTCTGTTAATTTGCAATTAAACTAAGTACAACCAGGTGAGAGTGAACTTAAACCCTTTCATTTCTGTTTTTTCCTGTCCTTGTAACCTGTCTCTCATTTCGCATGTTCCTTAAATCATTTCCCTTAGTCAAACTGCTTGATGTTCCTTGACCTTGCTATTTGTAGTCTACTCTTATCAAGCAACCAAATGATTCCTCAAGTCTACAAACAGCACTCTCTCCATCCAAGGGGAGGATAACAGGAGTGGCTATGAATGCTGGATTTGTAAATACTGCACTATGGATGATGCAGTCCATCGCACTGATAGATATTGAAAAAAAAAGACAGGGTGACACACATTTTTAGTGGGCAACAGCCCACAGTGTAGACCCGGTCAACACAGGTTTCCAGAGAAAGAATGAGCATACAAAAAAAAGGGTCAGTTCAATACGAGTAGACTTCACAATGACTAGAAGTGGAAGAAGAACGGAAGGGAGTAGTATTGGGGGTCCAGCTTTTGTTGAACTCTTATCAGACCTGTCAGCCTTTAATGACAATGTTATAATTATATGGAGGAGGAGCTAAAGCCAGAATTAAAGGTAGGTGGATCTAGAACCATCATTAAATGCAGGCTGAGCTAAAGTGACAAGCACATAATTAATAGCCTATAATTTCACCATTGTACTGTGATAGAATCATAGAAAATGAGGGTTGAAGGGACCTCAGGTGGTCACATCTAGTCCGACCCCCTGTTCCAAGAAGGACCAGCCCCAACAAGAACCTCCCAGCCAAGACTTTGTCAAACTGCGTCTTAAAAACCTCCAAGGATGGAGATGCCACCACCTCTCTGGAGAGCCTGTTCCAGTGTTTTACTGCTCTCCTAGTGAGAAAATTCTTCCTAATATCCAACCTAAACTTCCCTTGCTGCAACTTGAGCCCATTGCTCCTTGCTCTGTCATCTGCCACCACTGAGAACAGCCCAGCTCCATCCTCTTTGGACCCACCCTGCAGGGAGCTGAAGGCTGCTATTATATCCTCCCCTCAGTCTTCTCTTCTGCAGACTAAATAAAACCCAGTTTCCTCAGCCTCTCAAGTCATGTCCCCCAGCCTCCCCCGCCCCCTCAGGTCATGCCCCCCAGCCACTGAACCATTTTTGTTGCCCTCTGCTAGACTCTCCAAATTGTCCACATCCTTTCAGTAATGGGGGACCCGGAACTGGACACAGGACTCCGGATGTGGCCTCATCGGTGCTGAATAGAGGGGAAGAATCACTTCCCTCGATCTGCTGGCGACGCTCCTACCAATGCAGCCCAGGATGCCGTTGGCCTTCTTTGCAACAAGGGCACACTGCTGGTTCATATTCAGTTTCTTGTCCACTGTCACTCCCAGGTCCTTTTCTGCAGAGCTGCTGCCCAGCCACTCAGCCCCTAGCCTGTCCCAGTGCATGGGATTGCTCTAAGCGCAGGACTTTGCACTTGTCCTTGTTGAACCTCATGAAATTTCTTTTGGCCCAGTCTCCAATTCATCTAGGTCGCTCTGAATCCTAGCTCTACCCTCTAGCGTATCTACTACTCCCCGCAGCTTGGTGCCATCTGCAGACTTGCTGAGGGTGCACTCTGTGTCATCTTCCAGCTCATTGAAGACGTTGAACAAAGCCGGTTCCAAGACCGACCCCTGGGGCACTCCCCTTGATACCAGTTGCCAACTAGACATGGAGCTATTGATTACTACCCGCTGAGCCCAAAGCTCCAACCAGTTTTCTATCCACCTTACAGACCATTCGTCCAACCCAGACTTCCTTAGCTTGGCTGTGAGAATGTTGTGGGAGACTGTATCAAAAGCCATGCTAAAGGCTTTCACATCCATATCACATCCACTGCTCTCCATGTGTCCGCAGTGCCAGTCATCTCGTCATAGAAGACAATCGGGTTGGTCAGGCATGACTTGTCCTTGGTGAATCCATGCTGACTGTTCCTAATCACCTTCTCCTCCAAGTGCTAAGAAATGGATTCCTTGAGGATCTGCTCCATTTTTCCAGGGATTGAGGTGAGGTGGTCTGTATTTCCCTGGATCCAGCTTTTTCCCTTTCTTAAATATGGGTACTATGTTTGCCCTTTTCCACTCATCTTGGACCTCTTCTGATCACAATGAGTTTTCAAAGATGATCCAGTGGCTCTGCAATCACATCAGCCAACTCCTTCAGCACCCTCGGGTGCATCCCATTCAGTCCCATGGACTTGTATACATCCAGCTTTTCTAAATAGTCCCTAACCTGTTCTTTTGCCACTGTTGGCTGCTCACCTCTTCCCTAAACTGCTTCCTGGTGCAGTAGCCTGGGAGCCGACCTTGCCTGTGAAGACTGAGGTGAAAAAGGCATTGAGCACTTCAGCCTTTTCTGCATCATGTGTCACCAGCTTGCCTCCCCCATTCAGTAAGGGACCCACACTTTCCCTGATCGTCCTCCTGTTGCTGACATACTTGTAGAAACCCTTCTTGTTACCCTTCACATCCCTTGCTAGCTACAACTCCAACTGTGCTTTGATAGAAAGATGGCCACAGTTTTATAGGAGTTATTTTAAACTGATGGCTGCAATATTGCATTAAATAACATTCTTTTGTGCATTTCCCATGCAGTCAGAGCCATCTTATCAGGACTGAGAACACTTTTTGGGTACAGCCAGACTGGGTTCTCACCTCCACCACAGCAAATCAGATTTGAGAACCCATCCAGGGTCCATGCCCTAGCCTCCTGTGGTACTCCAGATGCAGAGGCTGGACTTGTGGTCATGAAGCCTGCAGTGCTCTCCCATCTTCTGGTTGGCAGTTCCAGCCTGCCAACCCATAAGTTATGAATGGATCCCTGTTTGAAAGCACCATTTTGTGAAATCAGGTGAAACAAATCAAGATGCCCACAAGTTTTTCCTTAGCAGCATTTGTCCATCACCCCTTGTTGAGAAAGAACTACCTTAGTGACAGCACAAGGAAGGAGGGGAAGTCATTGAGGGCAACAGTCCTCTGGCCCAGCCATAGCTGGACACATCAGAATCCAAGTATAAGAGCAAGGTCCCAGCTCCTAGAGCAGGATTAGAGGCATCAGAAGAAAAATGAAGCTCTGAAACCATTGTCACCAAGTCCATTATGAACCTAGGAAGTAAAAATCTAAGTGAGGTGAGGAGTGGCGGAAGTGGTAACAGCGTGTGCATGTGCATGTGTGTGCATACACGCACATGTGCACATGCCCGATTTTTTTAAGTAATGTTAGTTTTGACTGAATTTATCTTGCTTGAAATTTGCTGACAAAAGAGATACTCTTGTAACACGCATCTGGAACAGAATCCAGGATTTTTCTGCTCCAACATGGGATATAGGAATCAAGCACCCCGAGACTGGGAAGCAGATGAGGAAATTGCCTGCTTAAGATCATTAGGTAGGCAGACAATTATTCTGGGGTCCATGTTGGGAAAGGGGGGCAGGGCTGGCAGGGGTGAACCTCAAGGTGTAAGGATGAGTAGGGGACCCCTGGGGGAGGCAGCACAATATACAGCCATTGCTGCAATCAAACAGAGTTGCCAAATTAAGACTCCTTTTTTCAACTGATAATCTGCAAACTTATTATTGGCAATCATGTTTTCCCTCCTGTGGCTGGTGTTAAATCCTTGTATTTGAACCCTGCCCTTGTCCAGGGCCTGGCAGAAGGGTTACATTTACATTTACATTACATTTACATTATGTAAAACTTGTGTCAGTAAAAAGAAGGGTTGTCAGTAAAAAGTGTGCATATTGTTCCTGGGTTGGCAACCCTGAACGAATGGTTCTGTTTTTAGGTATGCAGCCAATTTAACACTGCCTAGCTAGGGGTT